TGGATATGTTGTTAGGAGTTGTTTTGGTGTTACTCTGGCAGGTGGATGGGCCCAATTACAGGAGAGACTCTGCCGAAATTTCTGATAAGTTGATGTGTGCGTAGGCACGAGTTGATATAGCCAGCTGAGACTAATACTGTGCGTTGATGTGAAAATCGGACCTTTTGAAAATATTTGGAGTGTAAGAAAATTGGTTTTGAAGTTTATAAGTATGGATAAAAGAAATAATCTCAACTAAGATGGTGTTGTCGGACCCATGATAAATTGCGGAACGTAGAATCACTCACGAGTATGTGCGTAAGAATACACTCAGTAATTTAATATCCTCAGAAAGATTCTTGGCACGTTCGAGGATAAACGTATGTTTAAGAGGTGGAGAATGTAACGACCCGACTTATCGTTTTAAGAATTAACACCTTGTTCTGTGACTTAAGGTCTCGAGCAGCTTCGTAATATGTATTATGACCCGCGGGTGAGGTCGAGTTTGATTTTCGGAAGATTCGGAAATAAATTGAAAGAACAATTCTTATCTAGAAGCTTAAATGGAAAGAGTTGACCGGAGAGTTGACTTTTGAGCAAACGACCCCGGAATAGAATTTTGATAATGTCAATAACTTCGTATGGTAATTTCGGACTTAGGAGTATGTCCGAATTTGGATTTGAAAGTCCGTAGGACAATTCGACGCATTTTGGCGAAAGTTGGAAAATAGACGATTTTCGAAAAAATTCGATCAAAGTTTGAATTTTTGATAACGAGGTCAGAATCTGATTCTGGAAATTAGAATAGGTCCGTTATGTCATTTATGACTAGTGTGAAAAATTTGAAGTCAATCGGACTTGATTCGATAGGTTTCGGCATCGAATGTAGAAGTTGGAAATTTCATAATAGACTAAAGTTTCAAGTGAGTTCGCACAAGACCTAACTTCAAATGATCATAACTCTCATGATACGAAGTGTTATATGGTGTATTACCTACCAAATGAAATATCTTTGAGTCTAGTTTCTAACGCTTCAAACCGTTTGTCATTTGGATATTCCTACAAGAAGTTATTACCAAATTACCAAAGGCTTGAAAAATGTGATTCTGCGACCAATTCTGCCATCGCAGAATAGTTATGCGATCGCGAAACTGCTTCTGCGACCGCAAACTGGTCACAGAATGGACCAGAATAGCCCAGTTCTGGGCATCAATTTTTGCGATCATTGTGCGGCTCGCATACCCATTTTGCGGTCCGTTATGCGACCGCAGACCTGCTTTCGGAGGGTTAATTTTTTTATTTTCATAACCCGATCCATTTTAATAAATAGCCTTTGGGGCTTATTTTGGGGTATTTTTCTGAGGGTTTTAGAGAGAGGTAAGAGAATTTTAGAGAGAGAAGGAGGGAACCTAACATTCTAATCATCTAATCTTCAAGAATCAAGGAAGCTAATCATAATATCTTCATCTAAGAGGTAAGATTTAACACCTAGTCTTCAAATTTCGAGTTTGGAATAAAAGATTGGTGATTGAGAGTATGATTCTTGGGTGTAAGAGTATTATATATATATATGCTTGTACCAATAAGGTTTATAGGAAGATATTTGAGATCAAATAAGTAAAGATTGGGTTATGAAATGAAGGAAATCTTATAGAAGAACCTTGTAACCAAATTTGCACACCTAGTGTTTGATAAAATACTCAAATGAGCTGAAACCGTGAAAATTTTCCTAATTATGGTTCACTTTTGTTATGTTTCTAAATAGATTGAAGTTGCTAGGATTTTCGGAGCCTCGTAGTTATGTAAGGACGGCTCAAGAAAGATTGGAGTCGTTCGGAGGTCACGATGCCTGAGGTGAAATTTTGTGCCATCACGACGCCTGAGGTGGGATTTTGGACCGTGACACAAATCTGCAGAAATCTCATCTTGTGCCGCGTTCAATTCACCTTAGAATATTTCTGCATTTGTCCTATACAACGTGCCATGAGCAACTCCCTTTGAAATCACCAATGATCCCTTGGTGAGTCTCCACTTTTAATTTGCAAAATAGTTCTCGTATCCATCTCGGTCTAAAGCAATTCCTGAGATCAAGTTCATCCGCAAATCAGGTACATATCGCACGTCCTTTAGAACCAATGTGCATCCAATATTTGTCTTGATACAAATGTCACCGATCCCCGCAATCTTTGAGTAACTTGTGTTACCCATTCTCAGAAGACCGAAATCACATGCTACATATCTGCAAAAAAGATCTCTTACCGGTGTGGCATGGTAAGATGCTGTTGTATCAACCACCCATTCCGACTCTGGACCTGATAAGTGCATGCATTCCTCTTCCTCATTTATAAAGAGGACAACATTATCATTGTTTTACACCATGACGGTTGTGTTGTCGTCATTCTTCTGGCCACTGGTTTCACATTTGCCCTTTCTTGAATTTGGGCAATCTCTTTTGAAGTGACCTTGTTGATCACAATTGTAGCAATTTCTAGCTCTTGATTTGGATCGGTTCTTAGACTTCCCACGAGCTCCGGATCTACCATAGTTGCTCGAACTCCTTTGATAACTCCTGCCTCTACCTTCTGTGATGAGAGCATGTCCTTGATTTTCAGGCTTCTTTCTCATCTTCTCATTGAGTAGAAGAGACGATGTGACATCTTTCAACTCAATGGTAGTCTTACCGTGCAGGATGGTTGTTGCCAGATTATCATACGAAGATGGCGACGAGTTCAACAACAAGATGGCTTTATCTTCTTCCTTGATTTTTACTCCGAGATTGGCGAGCTGTGTGATTAGTCCGTTAAACACATTTAAATGTGACAAAAAATTTGTACCTTCGCCCATGTGTAGGGCGTATAACTGCTTCTTCAGGTACAATTTATTTGTTAGCGTTTTGGACATGTATATGCTTTCTCCAAATACCACGTGCGGTGTCTTCATCAATGATGTTATTTACCACATCATCTGATAAGTGCAACCTGATTGTACTAGAAGCCCTTTCATCCAAGTCAGCCAAATCCTCAGCTTTCATGGTATCAGGTATTTTGACATCACCATCTAGTACCTTGTGTAATCCTTGTTGGATGAGCAGATCTCTCATCCTTCTTTGCGATGTTGAGAAACCGCTATCTACGTCAAATTTTGCTACCTCATACTTTACTCCGGATATTTTTGTTTTTCACTGAGTATAGTAGTATCGACAGTGAATAGTATTTTTGTAAACAAGCGGAACATGTGCTCTGATATCAGTTGTTGGGAATAAACCCCCTACAAAAATAATATTCACAGTAATAAAAGCGGAATAATCATGTAGCACCGAGATACGGTAATTAGCAAGAAAAAAATAACAACAACACCAAGATTTTTACGTGAAAAACCCTTTGAATAAGGGAAAAAACTACGGCCCCGAGACGAGCAACTGATATCACTATTGCAAGGAATTTTACACTTTGTAGGTCCGAGTAAAATACTCCAAAAACCACTACAACATTCAAAAGAAATAACTCTCTTTTGATATTCTCACCTCACTACAATATCGCTCACTCTCTATTTTTCTCACAGACTATTTTCTTATACCTTGTCTGTGAAACCTGACTCTTTCTTTCTATCTTTGTTGGTGTGTGGAAATGAGAGTTGAAGCTCTCATTTTATAGCCGAAGCCTCACTCTCTAAAGCCTATTATATTTGATAATTTGCACACACTTTTCCTTCTTTTTCTTCAATGTTGACAATTCAAGAAAGTTGGCTACTAACCCAAAAAAATTCAACAAAATTGGCTACCAAATCAAAGAAATTCAATAAAGTTGGCTACCAAATCAAAGAAATTCAATAAAGTTGGCTACCAAACCAAAGAAATTTTCCACATGCCTATTACTTTGGCTATTGAATGAGATGAACCCAATATCCGAATGAGCGCCTGCCTTCATCTCATTGTTTTACATCTGATATATGGCAGTTCATCTTTTCGATTGAGTAGGAAATGACATTAATGAAGTAAATGAAAGGTGATGTTGATCTTGAACTGTATCATTTGCCAGAACTCTTCTAGTGCATTGCTTTCTCAGAATTTATGAACCAAAACTAATTGCATCTCAGTTTTAAAGAATGTCTCTCACTAAAGACGATATCTTCCAAGGAACAACCCATTCCCCTTGGAATCAGCTTTCAGCATCACTTTGCAGTATGTTCTCTGTTTAAACCATTGCAGTGCCAATCAGAGTCTCTTCTATTGGGATGTTCGACTTGATTCTGAAAGGGTGTATAACTACCTTTTTCTTGGAAGATGGTTTAATCAAGAATTAACTATAATATTTTCGGTGATGTTGTCTCTATTGATACCAGATATTACTAAATAAGTGTCGCATGATTTGTTGCAACCATTGGAATAAATTATCATGGGCAAGATATAATTTTTTGTTGTACTTTTTGTCTGATGAGTCCGCAGAATCATTCAAATGGTTGTTCTCTACAACTTTAAAGTCAATTAATTTTTTTTATTCTCATAACTGATCAAGCTCAAGAAATGGCGATTGTCTATGTCGATTATGTCCGTGGAACATATCTTACGATGCATCATCTCGTTTGCGCTTACTGGAGAATGATAAAATGCGATAGTGTAATCATCTATCAAGGTGAAAAATAATGGAATTCATTTATGACTGTTTAGGGTCTTCATCTTTCTTTTCTCTTGTCAAAACAAGAATAAGAAAATGCTTTGAAAAAATGCACGAACCAGACGTGCAAATTTCAAAGTGAGTTAATGAAGAGGAATAATTATTACACAAATCACTGGCTGGCTAGTGGCTAAGCAGAGCAACATTAAGAGACATCTTTTGAAACAAAAGCGTAAAAAAAATGAGGACTTAATGGAAGTTTCAAAAAGTATTTGGGCCAATTTCAACTTTTTTCAAAACTATAAAATGACGAAACAAACTACACCTTCTGCTCGTTTAAGCATAAACCCCGCCGGAAACTGGACTCTCGTCACCGGAAAACATGTCATCCGTGTCTTCCCTGCGGTAATAGAGGTAATCCTATATTTATTTGACTATTTCGAGTCGACTATTAAAACTTCGAATGAAGCTTCCATTGTAAAAATTACACCTTTATAAGATATTGACTTGTGCACAAAATGTCGACTCAAAAGTTTTACCGAACTGTAAAACAACTTTTTCCCAAAAAACCGAATGAAGAAATTGCCAAATTGATCTCCAATACCCTCATAAATTCGACGTCTATTAGGGAAATTCCTCCTCTAATGTCCCAGCTTAATCCCCAAGTAATTCATCTTGTTCTTTCAAACCCATCTGTCCCTACACAATCTTGCTTAAGCTTCTTTAAATTCCTCCAAAAAGACCTATCTTTGACTCACCAAAGACCCAATCTTGAAGCACATATAGCCTTGGCTTTGCGCTTGCTCGAAGCCAGGAAGTTTGCTGAAGCAAAGAATATTTTGTATGATGTTGCTGCTGCTGATGGGCTGAGGAAACCCTTTTCAGAAATAGCTTCTTTAGTGGGTGAGAATAATGTAGAGCACAAGGTTATGGGGAAGATGTTAGATATGTTGTTTAGGGTTTATGTTGATAATATCAGGTTTGAGGAAGCTCGGGAGGTTTTTGAGTATATGAGGAATGGTGGGTTTGAATTGGATGACAGATCTTGTATGGTATACTTACTTGCTATGAAAAGGCGAAAACAGTATGACTCGTTGTTCGAGTTTTTCGAAAAGATGGTTGAATATGCTGTGAAAATTACCGTTTATACGATGACAATGGTTATCGACGGGTTGTGTAAAGTGGGAGAGGTTAACAAGGCAAGAAAGCTTATGGATGAAATGATTAGCAAAGGGGTGAAACCAAATGAATACACTTACAACACATTATTGGATGCTTATATGAAGAAGTCAGATTTTGTGGCTGTGAAAGAAATTTTGAGGCTAATGAAAAAGGATGGTGTGAATCTTGATGTGACAAGTTATACACTTCTGATTGACGGGTATTCTAATTTTGGAAATCTTGAAGATGTTGAGAGATTGTTTAGGAAAATAAAAGAGAAGGGAATAGAGCCAGATGTCCATTTATACTCCTCTATGATTAGTGGTTATTGTAAGTTAGGTGATGTCAAAAAGGCGTTTTCGGTGTTTGATGAAATGGTGGAGAGGGGCCTTGTTCCGAATGCTCACACATATGGAGCTTTGATAAATGGCTTGTGTAAATCTGGACAGATGCAAGCGGCTGAAGTTTTACTTAATGAGATGCAAAGTAAGGGGATTGACGTAAATCGAGTTATATTTAATACAATGATGGATGGTTACTGTAAGCAAGGTAATATGGATGAAGTATGGAGGCTGCAGAGGATTATGGAGGGCAAAGGACATGAGGCTGATGTATATGTTTACAATATAATTGCTACTGGGCTGTGTAGGTTAGATCGGCATGAGGAAGCCAAGACGTGGTTGTTCTCGATGGTGGATCGAGGCGTAGCTCCAAATGAAGTTGCTTATACAACTTTGATCGATATTTATTGCAAGGAAGGAAATTTTGTTGAAGCAAAAAGGGCCCTCCGTGAGATGGAAAGTAAGGGAGTTAAACCTAATACGGCAACATACAATGCCGTGATAGACGGTTACTGCAAAAAAGGTTTGATGAAGGAAGCATATAAGCTAAGAATTCTTATGGAATCTAAGGGCCTGATACCAGATGTCTATACATACACCTCACTTGTACACGGGGAATGCATATCAGGGAAGGTAGACGATGCTCTGAAACTTTTCAATGAGATGCCTACAGAGGGTTTAGCTCCGAATGTGGTGACTTACACAGCAATCATTTCTGGCTTATCGAAAGAGGGCAGATCAGATGAAGCCTTCAGATTGTATGATGAGATGATAGAGGCAGGCCTTACGCCTGATGCTGCTGCATACTCTGCTCTTGTGGGTAGCCTGCATAGTTGACATTTATCTAGTGTGAGAAGTCGTTCTTTAGGAACTTGTAAGTTGTAAGCTTCATGTAAATCAAATTTAGCTAATTGGAGACAATAGCAGACTGTTCAATACATCCTCAAGACATTTTACATGAGCACATTCTGCAGAGATTCGGCAGCCTGGCTTTTTGCTTGTTACTGCAGATCTGAGTGTTGTCCGTGGACATGGTCAGCCATGAACTCAAGGTTGTTGTTTATTTGAGATTCAGGAAAGAGCTAAAGCGCTGCTCAGAGTTAAGCTGCTTGAATTCCTTTCATGGTTTTAGCACAATGACCTTACCTGAGAGGATGATAGGCCTTTAAACCTTCTATTTCTTGAATCTACGTGAAAGACCTATAGCCTGTTTGGCCAAGCTTCTAAAATCAGCTTAGTTTGAGAAGTACTTTTCTCAAAAGTACTTTTAAAAAAAGTGCTTTTGGTGAAAAACAGTTTGTGTTTGACTAATTAATTTGAAAAGCACTTTTAAGCAGTAATTAGTGTTTGGTCAAGCTTTTGAAAACTGTTTCTAAGTGTATTTTTCTCAAAAGTGTTTCTCAGAAAAGTGCTTTTTGAGAGAAGCTACTTTTTTCTGCTTCTCCTTCTCCTCAAAAGCATTTTTTTGGCCAAAAAAAAAAGCTTGGCCAAAAAAAAAAAGCTTGGCCAAACAGGCTACTAGACTGATTTAGGCAAGTACAGTCTTAAAAATAAGTTTTGTTTTGTTAGGCGGTCATGATGTCAAAATATTTTTCTAGTTTACATGTTTTTCCTTTAGGAAACAGTGCTTCCTTTGTCGTCCAATACACTATTTTCTTGAGAATGGAAGAACCAGAACAAAAGAAGTGCGTCACCCTGGAGATGTTGGTGGATGATAGCAAATTTGTAGGTTATGTATCTTTTTTGGCTGAGTGCCCAGTTCTTATCCTAATCAATACCAGAGGCAAGCTTTTACCAAATGCAGGATGTGGTTAGAAATTGGATCATTCTTGTACAACAATAATGTGATATTAATTGTCAGTTAAAAGAGAACATAATAAGTTGTGTTTCTTGTACCAGATGATGGAAAAGACTCTTCAGCTACGCAGTGTGTTTTAATACTAGGGGTGAAAGAGTAAATGTCAAATAGTTAGAAATCAGCATATCATCTGACAACTTTCTCATTGTGGCTTCTGAGGCACAAACCTATGCAGCACTCAGTCCAACCATTCAATCTCTGTTCTTTATGCTTGATAAAATGTTGACATAGTGTGAATGTGATAAGTTAATATGTTGTATCTTTGTTCCTCGACTTGGATTTGACCCAATCACAACTGTCAACATTGCCGACACTCTCTGCTGATTATTGTACTGGCTTCCTTGTTATTTTCCAGGGCAAGCGGTAAACTAGCGATATATGCATCTTTCTCGTACTTGTTTTCGATATTCTAATTTCATACCTGCTGAAGCAGATGCTCCAGGAGGGATTATAACCTGTTTTGAAGTTGTCTGTAACTGTTGAAAGAACTGAAGGATGAGGTTCTGTTTGTCCTTGTTTTGTTGAAATTATTTTATAATTTTTTGGATTTTTTTTGAAGTGGAGTACCTCTCACAAAACACTTAAAGCTCCAAATTGTCTAGATCACTACCTTTTCTGAAGCTGTCTTTAACTCTCTATCCACGTTTTCTTTTTGCACAAATTTTTTTCTTTGAAAATCTTTATCAAGAAACTTTTTCCAAGAATTTTCCGAACGCCTAATAGCTCCAAATTTTTAGCAACATCATTGGGGTCATCTTATATTATATTAGCTATGAGATATCCTTGTTGCCATTTGAAAAGACTATTTTATGCCTGTTAAGTCTCTGACTAGCAATTCCTCCACTACCCCCCCCCCAAAAAAAAAAAAGGCTTTTCAGGTTCTATAGTTTGATGAAGAACTAATGTTGCTTGTGGCATTTCACTGTTTGCTTCAATTTGTATGCAAATATGCAAAGATTTTGCGGTATGAAATGTTATTTTTCTTGAAAATCATTTTTTCCCCTAACTGTGGTACTTCTCTGCCCCATATGCTCTGCGTTCTATATGCTTTTATAGTGAAGTGAGAAAAGAATGTTGCCTTTTGGACTTGCTTCTGTTTGTCTGAGTATCTTGGCTCCCTTTGCAGATTTTTAGTGATGAGAAGAAATGTTGGATATATGACCAGGGTGAACATTGACGACACTGGTTGGGGAATGGTAGGAGGATAAAATCCATTTAGTGGAGGAGGCAGCTGTTTATATTCCCACTTTGAAGGAGGGGAGTTTCCTTGTAATGGATTTGGCGAGTGTTCAGGTAGTGGATTCCATTTTTTACCTTGATGGAATTTGTCTTCATACTTAACTAAGATACTTCAGCTTGCTTGGGACTGAGGCATTGGTTGTTATAGTTGTTGTTGCTGCTTAACCAAGAAATTCTCATTGTTGCGGTTTATATCTACTGTGTGATGTGACCATGTCACGACCCAAAATTTCACATGTCGTGATGGCGCCTATCTCAATACTAGGCAAGCCGAAAATCTCAATAAACCACCCTTTCTTTTAAATTTGAAAACAAAATAATTAAATTCAGCGGGAGAAATCTCACAATTTTAAATATAACACTCCCAAAATCCGGTGTCACTGAGTACATGAGCATCTAATATGAATAAAATGTTTGACTGATAAAAACCACTGTCTGAAAGTATAGAACAGTACAATAACTGAAGGAAAGAGAGACAAGATCAGCGGACGTCAAGCAGCTACATTGATAGTCTCAAATCGATAGTACTCTGAAATCTAACAATCTCTGTGTCCGAAAGCACCTGGATATTGCACACGAGGTGCAGAGTGTAGTATGAGTACAACCAACTCAATAAGTAACAAGACTAACCTCTGGGCTGAAAGCAATGACGAGCTCCGCAGATACAATCCAGTATAAATAATGGTACAAAACGTAGACATGCTTCCAAATTTATCAGTTAAACTCAGTACAAGTGAAATAGATCAATATTGCATGATATGAAGAATATGACATCTCAATAAAAGGTCTCCTGTAAATACCGGTCACTCGGTACTGTTTATGGCCAATCCAGCTCAGGGGTGTTCCAACCCGTATATAAATACGCATTGACTGACAATCAGTCACTCAGTACCGTATAAGGCCAATCCAATCCTGGGGTAATTTATCCCCGAATATAAATGATACGGACAAGATCCATGTCCAGGTAACTCATTACAATATAAATACTTCGGGCAAGATCCATGCCCAGGGAAGATCCATCCCTCAATATAAATGTTTCGGGCAAGATCCATGCCCAGGGAAGATCCATCCCTCAATATAAATGTTTCGGGCAAGATCCATGCCCGGGGAAGATTCATCCCTCAATATAAATGCTTCGGGCAAGATTCATGCCCAGGAACTTTTGCACCGGCGGACCACCAGCCGCACCTGCGGAAAAATCCATCGCATGTGCGGTTCTCTCCAAGCTAGCCAAATCTGCTTCTGCGGACCAAATTCCGCTCCTGTTCGACCGCTTCTGCGGTCCACCACACGCTCTTGCGCTCTCACACATGCGGAGACCTTCCGAAATTAGAATTTTCTTTTCAACTCAACTTCGATCTTCCCGAAATTAAATTCCGACTACTCGTACAAGTCATAATACATGAAGTGTAGCTACTCAAGGCCTCAACCACCGAACGATACGCTAGAGCTAAAAACGACCGGTCAAGTTGTTACAGACCAACTATAAGGCGCGTGCAGTACAGTATGCTCCTGCAGTCCTACTTAACACCCCAAAAAAAAAGGGTATGCTCCTATAGAAAAAGTTTTGTTTTGGCGGTATCTTTCTGTTTATGAAATACTAATTGTCTAATTAGCAGTTGATTGAACGTAACAAAAGACCCCAGTACAGGACGTATAACAGGTTCATTTGTAACACTATCTAGGATGGTACATCATATACCAGATAACAGGTTTTTACATTATTGAATTGATCTTCAGAAGTCCAGTGGCCAAAACATGCATATCAAGTACTCCATTTTGCTATCCATTCTGTGGTACTTGTTTACATGATTTCACATAATTCCTACTGCCGCAAGAAAAAGTGAAGGGAAACCAATCGACTTTCTTCGCCGAAATATGTGAACCCAGGGATCATTCACACTGGAGTTATATCGTTTCTATCCTAATCCCTCATCATTCTTGTGTTTCAAGTGACTGTGATATTGTTTTAACTTTAATAGTAGCGCACTTGTAAGGTTAACCACCCTGTTGTCCACAGTAGACTATAATAAGCTTTGCTTTGTAGGTCTCTTGAACTAGGGGATACAAGCCAGCACTTGCATAAAAAGTGTAGCACGAGAGAGACTGAGGAAATGAAGAGACCTCTTCTTTCTTCCCTTTTGTTTTCTAATTATACCAAGGCAAGAATTTTGTAATCGTCTAGCAACTAGTATAAGAAGTGAAAGTTCTTGTCTGATCCAGCTAGGGGTTAAAGGGGGAGCCGCGGACTTAAAATGGAGAAACAAGGACATTATGAATTCATATAGTCTACTTTAATTTGCTTGGAATTGAGGAGTGGTTTGTTGCCGTTAATGTCTAGCAGGGACGGAGTTAGAACATGGGGTACGAGTTTAAACACATAAACCCTGTATTTATATTACGAAATTTATTAAATATGTTTAAATAATTAATTATGCAATCAAAAACTAAGACGAGCTTTCAGTGACAAGTACATAATTCATAAAGTTTAAATCCTGCCTCTCCTCTTAGAAAAATATGGCATCGATGCTTTTACAGATTCAGATTGATGGAATCTCAGCGTCATTATCAAATCATCCTGAAAATTTTAGCTCATCTACTAAAAATGATTGTACTATCCTGTCACGCATTGACATTGCAAAAAGATAGCAGATAACACAACAAATGTTTTGGTGGATTATCATTTGTTATCTTACATTACATTATAATCAGCTGTACCAAGATATTCTAGATAGTGACCAGTGCAGTTGCAACTAAATTAGCCTCCTCTCCAACCATTACCATGATTAATGATTTATGGTTCTCCAGTAACTACATGCAACTTGTAATATAACATTGAGGAGTGTGGTAGGATAGAGGGGATCCTTTAACCTTTAACTAGAGATTTCGGTCTCGAGCCCTAGGAATGAAGAAATTCTTGGCAGAGAGATTTTCTCTTTAGTGACCCCTAAGCAACATGAATTTGGATTAGTTGAGTCAGTAAGTTTCGATTACCGGACGCATAAAGCAAAAAAGAAAAAAAATATATTTTTCACTAGCTATTTTACTCACGAAGGGGAACCTTGGTGTAACTGGTAAAGTTGTTGTTATGTGATCAGGAGGTCACGGTTTCGAGCCGTGGAAAGTGGAAACAACCTCTTGCAGAAATGTAGGGTAAGCCTGCGTACAATAGACCCTTTTGGTCTGGCCCTTCCCCAAACCCTGCGCATATCGGAAGCTTAGTGCACCAGGCTGCCTTTTTCAGCTATTTTACCCTCCTAAAATCACAAGAAGATAAACTGAATGGTATCTACTAGGGGTGTACATGGACCGAGTTGGTTCGATTTTTATCAAAATCAAACCAAACCAACTATATCGGTTTGGATTGGTTCAATTTTGTCGGATTTTTCGGGTTTTCGGATTTTTTGTTACTTAAATATTATTTCAGTCTTACTTTGTTAAATATTTGATTAGTAAATATATATTTAGTAAAAATATAAAAAATTGACAAACATATTATCGATTAAAATATTCTTATAGGAGAATTCTATTAGTAACATATAATAGTTATTTTTTTAGTCGTCTGACAATAATTTTTCGTTGATGTGCACTTTCAGGTTAACCGAATCTAGTAATTAAACATAAAAATCAATATGATACCTAAATATTAATAATCACTTCACATTCGAAAAAGATCAAAGAATTTAATAAATCTTAACATATGATATGAATATGGAAGAACAAAGAGATAAACGCATTTCAGTAACACTTGATAAGAAAGTGATCATACAACTAATTATTTAAGGTCAATAAATATGGAGCACTTCATATTATATTAAAATTTATATCCCGCAAGAGATTATCAAATATTTCTAGACATTTTAAAAGAAAATTCTATATAAAATCTTAAAAGTATATATAAAAATTATATATTTATATGTCGGGTTGGTTCAGTTTTTTTTACTCAATACCAAACCAAATCAAACCAAATCAAGTCGGGTTTTTTAATCGATTTGGTACGGTTTTTCGATTCGGTTTGTATCTACTAAGGAATTTACTTCACTTCTCAAGCTGTTAGCTGCTTTATAACAGTACAGAAACATATAAATTCTCAGCTCACCTTAAATTGCACCTTTTCACCTAACAATTGCTTTCATCCCAATAACCCCACAAACTTCTTCCCTGAACCTCTTATCCCATCTTTTTTGTTTTCTTAATTAATTTTAGAGCAAGAAATTCACCCCCCTCATTATAAAAGTGGAGCACATTCTCCTTCTCCCTCCATCTCACAACTTCAAATTAAGCTAAATCAAGAAAAATGAAACCAATATTTGTGTCACCTCTTCTTTTCTTGTTCTTCTTCTTGCTCCAATGCACTTGTATTTTCACTCAAGCTCCTGCTATGTCACCAATGCCACCAGCTCCATCATCTCCTCCTGCACCAATATCGCCCCCAGCTATTGTCTCTGCTCCCGCTCCAGGGCCACCTGGTCCGCCAAATGTGGTAAAAATCCTCGGAAAAGCTGGTCCATATTCGACGTTCATCAAATTATTACAAATCACTCAAGAAATTGGCGAAATCACCTCATTACTAAACAACTCCAACAGCATAACAATGTTTGTTCCATCAGATGGCGCTTTTTTGAACCTCAAAATTGGCACTCTCAACTCTTTCAGTGATCAGCAGAAAGCTGAATTGGTTAAATTCCATATTCTCCCTTCATATTTCTCCCTATCACAGTTCCAAACTGCTAGCAACCCTTTACATACACAAGCTGGTGGAACCACTAATCGCGAATTCCCAATCAACATAACCACAAACGGGACAGCAGTGAACATAACAACTGGAATTGTGAATGCAAGTGTGTCCAGTACAATTTACACTGATAATCAGTTAGCTATTTATCAAGTTGACAAAGTGCTTCTTCCTTTGCAATTCTTTGTACCACCAGCACCTGCTCCAGCACCATCAAAGCCGAAAAAGAAGGATCCTTCTTCGGATTCTGCATCTGTTAATGTTGTTTCATCTGGTGCTACTTCACTTCTTCCCCACATGATGTTTCGGGCTATGGTCTATCCTAGCTGCTTTTTCTTCTCTGTTTGGTTTGTGTGTATGAGCTAATTAGGGGCAAGCAATGCCTCTATGCTTGTTATGTTGTACATTTAAGTGGAACCTAATAAGATGTTACTTTTCGTGTGTACTCAAGCATGCTTTTGGATATTATGTTACTCCTATGTTTTAAAAGAATTTAAACATCCATAGATAACCTTGTTAACAGGTAATTAACATTACCCTTTTTCCTTTAAGGGGAAGAAAGAAAATTAAGGAACCATAAAATCAAATGCGGCACACTTTCATATCTCTTTCGTCTACAAGGTAAACAACTTAGCTTAGTGCACAAGCACAACGTGTTCAACTAGCTGGCTAGTGCATTGGCCTTATTGTAAGGAGTTCGAAAACGATATATCTCGTGACACCCCATCGTGGCTCCATCAGGGGCGGCCCGACGAGTTTTGTGGCCTGAAGCCAAGCTTTATAAGGGGCCTTAACTTTATTTAAAAAAAATTATTTATTTATTTGAAGTCTATTTTTCTGACGTTCTTAGATACAAATTAATAATGTTCTTTAATCAATAACTCCTAATAAGTCTTTTTTAATTGACAATATAGCTAATCCATTTAACCTTTATTGAGACATTTGTTGATTTTAGGTGAGATTTTATCAATTTTAATTTTAAAAATTTCTTTTCGCTGAAGCGACGGAAACAAGAGTTATTAACATTATTCCATAAGTAATATAGGCATTGAAAAAAGAATCAAATTTTTTTATTTGATAGAGTGTATCAATTAAATTGTTATCTTCTAATTGTACTATTTTTCGTAATATTTTTAATTATAAAAATAAATCTACACCATCGATATCGACTTGATTATTATACTTTAAGGAACATTCAACATTAAGGCAATATTTTTTCAAATTTCTATCATCTAGTGGTCTTAATTTTTACCGCTAAATATAAAACCAAAAATATTTTCATATGCTTCGAATTATTCAAATCTATTTTGAAGTGAAAAAATAGCCTTGTCTACTATGTATAAAGTAATCAACTCCAAAGGACTCTTCAAAAGATTTTGAGATTTTATTATCAGCATTCTCGTCTAATTGTTACTTCCTATATATCATACGTTTCTTACGAAACTCGGGTTCGATATTCATTTCAAGTGCAATTTTCTTAGCAGGAATCATAGCATTTGCAAATCCTTCTTCTCTATACTTGTTAAAGAAAGAAAGTAATTTTTTCACTTCATAAAACCTTTTTTTAAACTTATACATAGCCTATTATGTATAACAAAAAATAAGCCCCCGCAAATATGGGGCCTAAAGCAGTTGATTTACTTGATTTATGGAAGGCCACCCCCGCTCCATATATATTAGAACAGAACTTTGCATGTGCAATCAAACACACCATGCATTCTCCACCGGTGAGATATAACCTACGGATGTGTTTGGCTATTGGCAATAAACAGTAGATATTGAATTAAAATTCAGTCATGAAATGTGAAAAGAATAGAAAAATGTGTTAATCTGTTAAATGCTATTCCCAACTTCCTCTATATATGCGTAAAAACTGCTAAATGACCTGCCAGTGGCCAAAAGAATTAACCTATAGGGAAAACTTTTCATGCATATTAAATTCGCGTTTAACAAGTAATAGTGTAAAACACTGTTCGATTTTCCCTTCCGAAAGTTGAGGTAGTAATTTTCCAAAATACTTACTGTAGGAGAGCAAAACCCTTGATCGTCAAATTCTTCTTACTTCCATTGAACTTATCTAGAAGATTAACCTGAAAATCCCCCTAAACATTGACAAACACAAGCACATGTTAGAAAAAATGACTGATATAGAGAATACAGGTTTGCAGATATAAAATTTGATTTGATCTTGTGGTAAAGTAAAAAAAAGAAAAACAAAGAGATTAAATATTAGAAAATACTAATTGATGACCATGCACTTTGCAGTCTCTTTAGACAAAATATGGTTAATCTTTGATTAAAAAAGATCTTTTCATACACTCTGGAGGCTTGAAAGTGTTTTGTTCTTAATAAGGGATCTTGTTTAATTTCTCTGTTTCAATAGTGTTGCTTTCACCAAGACTATTAGAATAATCAGCTTATTTTTGAATTCAAAAAGCACTTTTGAACAACAATTTGTATTTGGCCAAACTTTTTAAAAAGTGCTAAGGACACGAAGAGAAGTACTTAATAGTTAATATTATATAAATAAATAAATAATCACAAATATTTATTATTAAAGACAGTAATTAAGTTTTTTATTTTATTTAAGTAAAATATAAAAATAAAATTGAAAAGTACTTTATTCTTTCAAGATGATTTAAATATATCAAAAAACCATTCAACAAATATGAAAGTTCACTCCAAAAGTCATTATATATTACTTAATAGTTTAAACTAAGTAAGATTATTTTGGTATATACAATACTTTGCTAAGGGTATTTTTTTTTTTTGGAANTGAAAGAAGCTTGGCCAAACAGGCTAATAGTCCGATCCTAAAATATTTGATGTTTTACAAGGAAAAAACAGCCTTTTATTTTTTTCAAATTTATCTTTACTGTTCTAGTCAGTGGAGTGTTAGTAAAAATGCGGATTATATGGATCGTATATTGTACATTAGCCACTCTTTACATGGACATATCCGAAGGATCAATTGCATATCTTTTTTCTAGTAGAATAAGTGTCTCCAGACACTTGAACCACGATGGGATGACGAAATATAATACAGAAACGTGCATGGCGGCTACAGGATTCATCGTTGAAAATTTACACGTATATAAAGTTAATTTTTTATGTACATATATTACCTGTTGAATTTTTTTAATTTCTTTTTGTGTTTATTGTTAGGATCGTGAACCTGGGTAGTGCGAAATTTAGCCAAACAACGTTATAATAACAATAACAAAGATAATACAAGTTGATAATAATGACAATTAAATCATATAAAGAGGACAAAAATTTAACGTGGTTCGGTCAAAGTGACTTACGTCCACAAGCGGAGAGGAGCAATTTCACTATACCAATAAAAGTACAAAAGAGAGTACAAAATTAGAGTAAATACTCTAATTAATCCCAAATAACCTAAAAGAATAATCTCACAAGATCACTCCAAAGAAAGGGTTCACACAAGTGCTTCTCAACACTCAACTCTCATACAAAATACTCTTAATAAAGGAGGAAGGGAAGAAACAAGAAATGAAGACTCAAATCTTGTTGGTGTGTTTAAAATGAACTAATGGCCTTTCCTTTTATAGGCAAAAAAGCATTGGCCTCTTAGTTGTAAAAGAAAAGATACAACTTGTGCAAATGAAATCCATCACACAATGCTATATTTTTTGGTCCCAAAAAATATTGCCAACAAAGTCTACACTTTGCAAATATACTTATACTTATGTGAGATGGACTCTATTAGCCAAAATATTGGTCATATTACAAATCTCCACATTGGCCTAATTTTGGCTGATATAGTAAATTTGCTTCACCTTCTTTGCAAAAGCCCCAATGGGCATATGTCAAAATTTAATGCCATCAAAATCAAATAAGTTGTCTGATATCGAAACTGTAGTAGGGCCTATAACAGTGAATCCCCAATAAAGTATACAACGAACCAAATCTGTGTGCTTTCATGATCACAAGAGCACCATGAGAAACTTTCAGAACTCCACCTTCACATGCGTACTTGCACCCAAGAGATTCTAGAGTGCCCAAAAAGATGAGATTATTCTTCAAGTCAGGAACATGTCTAACATCGGTGAGAATTCTCACCACACCATCGTGCATTTTGATTCGGACTGTACCTTTTCCAAAAACTTTGCACGCAACATTGTTGCCCATCAAGACAACTCCACCTCCAATAGATTCATATGTGGTGAATAAATCCCGATTGGGACACATATGATAAGAACAACCCGAATCTAAAATTCACTCATTGTTAGATTTGAAACTATTATTAGTTGCTAAAAAATAATTCCCTCATTCTCATCGGCAGCTACACTTGCTTCGGCAGTGTCAGTATTTTTGTGCTTATTTTTTCTTTCTTTATGCTTTTCTTTATTTTTCAGTTTATAGCATTCAAAGATAATGTGACATTTCTTATGACAATAGCGACACTCTAAATTATTGTATCTGGATATGGAGTCGCCCTAACAAATAAGCCAACTTCCTCTTGAGTTCCACTAGCTTCCCCAGTAATATCACTATCTATCTATTCTTTTGATTTTAAGATCGATTTAATATCCTTATAAGAGATATTATCTTTTGCATAAAGCATAGTATCTCTTATATGCTTAAAAGATGGGGTAAAGAATAAAGCAGTAACACGGCTTGATCCTCATCTTTAATTTCAGTATCTATATTACTCAAATCCATAAGAATGGAATCAAAGGTGTCAAGATGAGAGATAATAGAGGTACCTTCACCCATACGAATTGTATAAAGTTTCTGCTTCAGGTAAAGTCTATTTTCCACCGTCCTCTTCATATATAAAGTTTTTAATTTTCTCATATGCCTTTGGTTGTGGTTTCTACAGAAACTTGACGTAAAACCTCATTTGAGAGATTTAAAATGATACCTGCTTTTGCCTTTTTGTCTATGACGACAAATTCTTCGTCCGTCATTTTATCCGGCTTCTTCTCCTTTTCTTGCAACGCCAAATCTAAGCCATCCTGAATTAGGATAGTTTCCATCTTTAATTGCCACATTCCGAAGTTTGCACTTCGATAAAATTTCTCAACATAAGTCTTTGTTAAAGTCATATTGGCTACTGAAACAAACCCGGTTAGATTCGGCTTTGATACCAATTTGTTAGGATCGGGAACCTAGGTAGTGCGGAATTTAGCCAAACAACGTTATAATAACAATAACAAAGACAATGCAAGTTGATAATAACGGCAATTAAATCATATAAAGAAGACACAAATTTAGCGTGGTTCGGTCAAAGTGACATACGTCTACAAGCGGAGAGGAGCAATTTCACTATACCAATAAGAGTACAAAAGAGAGTACAAAATTAGAGTAAATACTCTAATTAATCCCAAATACCCTAAGAGAATAACCTCACAAGATCACTCCAAAGAAAG